TCAAGAATGCCAGAGGGAGAAGGGAGGGGGCAAGGCCCAAAGGGAAGCATATTCTCGGAACAGCAGTGGGGCATGGCAGTGCAGACACGAGCACAAACGGAGCGCAGTCAAAGGCTGGTGGGGGTTGAGAGCAAGGACGGGGGATGGGAGGCGGAGCTAAAGCAAGCATGCAAGGAGGATGAGTGGCTGGAAGGAAATAAGGAAAAGGTGGAATGGAAAGACGGATTGGGATTTGTAAACAAGAAGCTATACATCCCAAGCAACCTAAGGAAAAAAATGATGGTTAGATGCCACGGCAACAAGGGAGCCGGGCACTGGGGAGTGACGAAAACCCTAAAATTGTTGGCACGCCAGTGTTGGTGGCCCGGGATGAGGAGTGACACTAAATCGTATGTGTCCCAATGTAATGCGTGTGCACAAAACAAGACAACCACACAAAAGCCAACGGGGTTGTTGCAAAAGGTGGCAGAGCCATCAAAACCTTGGAGAGTGATTGCTATGGACTTTGTGGGCGAACTCCCAGTCAGCCGAGGTCAGCGCTACATATGGACAGTGATGGACTTATTCTCAAAACAAGCACATTTCATAGCGCTGCCTAAATTACCCTCGGCGGAGAAGTTGGCTGGGCTATTTATCAAACACATCTATAGGCTACATGGCTGTCCGGACCAGGTGATCAGTGATCGAGGGGTGCAATTTACGGCCAGGTTCTGGGAAGAGTTCATGCAATTGATGGGAGTAGAGAGAACCTTGAGTTCGGCATTTCATCCCATGACCAATGGGGGGGTCGAGCGTACACAACAGACGTTGGGGCTATTCCTAAGAACATACACAAATCATTGCCAAACCGATTGGGCTGACTTGCTTCCGTTTGCAGAAATTGCGTACAACGGAGCGTGTCACGCCTCCACAGGGAAGTCCCCATTTGAGATAGTGTACGGTATGGAAGTAACCCCTTTACCCAAGTTGTCAAGTTGGGGGGAAGAACCCTGGGGGAAGGAAGGGTGGCCAGACAAGGTAAAAGCAGTTTGGGAGGAAGTGGCGAAATCACTCCAAGAAGCCCAACGAAAGTACAAGCTGTTTGCGGATAGGAAAAGGAGGGAGGGAGACAAATTGGAAGAAGGGGACTTGGTGTGGCTTAGCACGAAAAACCTCAAGCTAAATACCCCCTCTCGGAAATTGTCCCCTAAATACATTGGTCCTTTCAGGATTTCTGACAAAATAAATGACGTAACATACACATTAAAACTGCCAAAGATTTTGGGAAAGATACACCCAACATTTCATTGTAGCCTATTAAAGAAGTACCAGGGCCCGCTAGATAAAGAAGGGACATGATGGTGATATATGTTTCCCTTCCAGGATGAAGAGGAGGAGGAGGGGGACGTCATGTCAGGACTCGGTTTCCTGGCCTTGGAAGGTGGCGCAAAAAAACGGATTCCTGACATGGAGAACTGATAAGGGATTGCAGCTGGTGGCCTTGGGAAGGGCAGTTGGTGGCTTGGCGGGGAATATTGAGCGGGATCCTGGGTTGGCGGGAAGGGGGAATTCGAATGTGGGGAGGGTATATAAAGGGCTGACATGCGTCTGTGTGCCAATCCTGGCTTTCATTGTGTATATGTATCCAGTAGTAAAAGGTTTCCTGATTGATTACGGACTGGCGTCTTGTGTCTTTTCGGGGAGCGACTGCTGTGAGCTTACAATTTTGTGCTATAAGGAGGCCTATAGGTAAAATAAGCAGTTAAAATATATTATAAATAAGTCTGTGAACTAAGCAAATATTGCATTATCTATCTCCATGGTTTTTTTCCCTATGGCGCAGCCAGTCCCTCAGACTCAGTTCAGTCATTTCTGTGACAAAGCCTCTTTTAAATTCTGACAACCATCCTGTTAAGTAAATCCATGATTCCTTACATGGTGTCGGTTTTAAGGAACTAGGACTTAAATGTAACTTTTTGGTACTTGTACCAAGATTCAAAGATTATATCCCAACCATTGGACAGCATGTTTGTTTCTTGAATTCCAGAATTATGTGCTGTTTTTCTAGGGTGTTTGTGTGTCTGTATGTATATGTGTGTATAGATAGATAGATAAATAGATAGATAGATAGATAGATAGGCCACATTCCATTAAATTGTATTTGATTTACATTTCAGCAGCAATCAACTCATTATTGAAGTCCAGTATATGAACGATAAATCTAAATGGAAGTCTATGCACTCTACCAATGAATAGAAAGAAACTATAGAAGTTGTAATTATAGTTTTTTGTTTGGCTAATAATATACCATGTGATGTTCATTCAGTGAATGATCTTTGATGAGTCTGAAAAGAGGATGTTTAAGTTTCCAATCTCCCCTTTTTGGGCAAAGTCCTGGAACACGTGGTGGCCTCACAACTCCAGGTATTCTTGGGAGAAATGGATTATCTGGATTTGGCACAGTCTGGTTTCAGACCAGGACATGGAACTGAGACAGTCTTGGTCGCCTTAGTGGATGATCTGTGCCGGGAGCTCACAGGGGGAGTGTGTCCCTGTTGGTGCTGCTGGACCTCTCAGCGGCCTTCGATACCGTCGACCACGGTATCCTTCTGGACGCCTCGCGGGAATGGGTCTTGGAGGTACTGTTTTACAGTGGCTCCGGTCATTCCTGGAGGGCCGATCCCAGAAGGTGTTATTGGGGGACACCTGTTCAACCCCACAACCTTTGTCTTGTGGGGTTCCACAGGGCTCAATACTGTCTCCCATGTTGTTTAATATCTACATGAAGCCGCTGGGAGAGATCATCCGGAGTTTCGGGGTACGGTGTCATCTGTACGCAGATGATGTCCAACTCTGTCACTCCTTTCCACCTGCTACTAAGGAGGCTGTCGAGGTCCTGAACCGGTGCCTGGCCGCTGTAACGGTCTGGATGAGGGCGAACAAATTGAAATTGAATCCAGACAAGACAGAGGTACTCCTGGTCAGTCGCAAGGCCGAACAGGGTATAGGGTTACAGCCTGTGCTGGATGGGGTCGCACTCCCCCTGAAGGTGCAGGTTCGCAACTTGGGTATGATCCTGGATTCATCGCTGAGCCTGGAGCCCCAGGTCTCGGCGGTGACCAGGGGAGCATTTGCACAGCTTAGGCTCGTGCGCCAGCTGCGCCCGTACCTTGGGAAGTCTGACTTGGCCACGGTAGTCCACGCTCTGGTTACATCCCGTTTAGACTACTGCAACGCTCTCTACGTGGGGTTGCCTTTGAAGACGGCACGGAAGCTTTAATTGGTCCAACAGCGCGGCAGCCATGTTACTAACAGGAGCAGGATGCAGGGAGCATACAACGCCCTTGTTGTACCAGCTCCACTGGCTGCCGATTTGCTACCAGGCTCAATTCAAGGTGCTGGCGTTGGCCTATAAAGCCTTAAACGGTTCCGGCCCAAGATACCTATCCGACTGCATCTCGACCTACGAGCCCACCAGGACTTTGAGATCTTCCGGGGAGGCCCTGCTCTCGATCCCACCTGCTTCACAAGCACGGCTGGCGGGGACGAGAGATAGGGCCTTCTCGGTGGTGGCTCCTTGGCTGTGGAACACCCTTCCCATGGACATTAGACTTGCTCCTTCCCTGGTGATATTCCGCAGGAACTTAAAGACTTGGTTGTTCAAGAAGGCTTTCGAACAAGAAGTGCAATGATTGGTAATGACTATAGGAATGGAACAACGGAAATGATACTGGATTGTGGTTTGGACGATGAGACGACGCTGAATGGTTTTCGTAGTAATGACGATTTTTTGTGTAATGTTGGACTGTGAATTGTTTTATACTGTGTCTTGAATTTTGTTCTTCCTATGTTGTACACCACTGTGAGTCGCCCCCGGGCTGAGAACAGCAGTATATAAGCAAAGTAAATAAATAAAAATAAAATAAAACTGGTGGCTATATTTTAAATTAAGCAATGTTGGTTAGCATAATGTGTAACTGAAAAATCTTTATGCATATAAATAAAGAAACAGAAATGTTTAACCAGTGACTTATTCTTAGATTTCCTTTTTTAATTGTTTGGTCCAAAAAGAACTTTTAAAAAATCTTACTTGAAGTACTCTTCACTGCCACTGACAAAGGTTTTGTTGACATGGCTGGTGGTGTAATTTACCATTGTCAAGTTTGGATAGGCACTCATACAGAAAGTGGAGTTCTTTATTTGTAATTTGGGCCGGTCACCAATGATACAGGAATCTGGCAAAAGAAACAATGCAAAAAATTAACTATTTGGGCAAAAAGATACCTGAAGACCCTTGAAGAATAGCAATGAAGAAGAACAGCAGTGTTTCCATCTAAAGTATGTTTTATTTCAGCATCCAAAATGTAATTGTCAGCATCTTGTTGAACATGAAGATGCAGCCTGCTTCTTAACATTAATCACAATGGAGACTTATTTTCCATTGATGGGTTTAATCTGTGTCAGACTGCTGTATATCTAATTCAAGTCCTCGGAATGTTACTTGATTAATACAAGAGCATCAAGAATCACAAACCAGCAAAACTGAATTGGATTTAAGGTGAACTCCACCCGCCCCGCTCCAGTTATTATTTGATAGTACTTCTCCTGAATAAATGAGTACAGTCAGCCCTTCACATTTGCAGCTTTAGCTTTTGTGGATTTGATTTTTAACAAATTCTCTCTTAATATGTTCTCTCTAGGAATCTCTGGATGCTTCAAGTGCAACTCTATGATCAACATCGGCCACAAGTTGATGATAAAGTTGCAAAAGTGGACCTAGAGATTCCTAAAGAGGACTCCTTTCTCAATTTTTGTAGGCCCTCTAGAATGATTCTATGGTCAACTTCCAAAATAAGTTTATCACAGAATCACATGTAAAGACCTATACATTTCACTTGAACTCCAGTGAATATGGAAGGATGGCTATCCAGTGCTTCCCCTGCATAAATGAAATCATTCTATGAGACTGCTGATCAACCTATATTTATTACATATGCAAAAGTCCAGAGTTGTCTATAAGCACTCTATCCATCATGAGCCATGACTGATCAATATACAACTGATACTCAAGTGAAGGAGAAAATTCTGTAAAACAAGCATAATGAATCAAAGGCTTTGTGGGCAGGACCACAATCAGTTTCATGTGGTGCAAATGACTCTATAGTTCCAAAGAGTGGTGTAGCCTCAGTTTTAGACAAGCAAGACAAACTTCTGCATTACAGCCTTTCAAAATGTTTCATAGCCATTGCTACAGTGCAAGCCTTTGCCAGCAATCACACAGCATTAATAGATACAACAAAATGGACTGTATATTTGGATTACAAGATGCATAACTTATTCTAACTGCTGTCCTGGAAACTAAAGTGGAAAATAAACTGGAAATCCATTTTGGATATTGCTATCACCATCACCCATCCAACCCATTTCCCAAGGAAGATTACAAAATAATAAACCCAATATAAGCTACAATACATACAAAATATAATTGAAATATATGGAAATTATAATAACTGTCTATGAAATTGCAACAATTTGAAACCAGTTAAAAAGAAGATAAAAATCAGCAAGACGCTATCAAAAGGTTAGATCATTCTGTTGCTAATATCTCATTAAAAGAGAAAAGCTTTCACGTGCTAACAGCAGGAGATCAAGGAAGGAGCCATCATAGCCTCCCTTAAAAGGAAATTTCAAAGTATGGGAGTAGCCACTGAGAAGACTCTCCCTTTTTGATACCAACAAATCTTCCCGGGAAAAGTTCAGACAGGATTATATAGGGAAATATGATCCTTTAAATAGACTGGGTCAGTGTTGTGTTTTAGTACTTTTATAGCCTGCTTTTCCATTTGAAAGTGTTCAAGATCAATAAGATGTGTGAGTGGGTGGGTGGGTGGGTGGGGGGGGGGGGGGGGCTGTTCTAATAAATAATCCAGACCTACAAATCTGTGAGGTGACCCTTCATATCAAGTCAGCATGATCTATTAACAGAGCTGCTTCAAGCTACAGGAAGAAAATCTACTCTCTTCTTCCAACTAAAACTTATTAGTGTATGGGATAGAAGGTGGGAGTGGTAATGGCTCACTGATTGGAAAAACTCAATATATGTTACAGTCCCCCAAAAAGAGGACACCATTCATTGCAGTAACCACAGGGCCATTGCATTACTTTCCCATGCAAGCAGTGATACTCAAAATTCAACAATTAAGACTTTTGCCATTTATGGAGCAAAAAGATATATAATTGAATACTATATATAAGATTGTCAGTGCCATAGTATTTCCCATTCCTATGTATCATTGTGAAAGCTAGATAATGAAGAAATCAGGTAGAAAGAAAATCAATGTGTTTGAAATGCGGTGCTGCAAAAGAGTTCTATGGACACTGTGGACTCCTAAAAAAAACAAATAAATGGACCTAAGAGCAAATCAAGCTTGATCTCTAGAAGCCAAGATGACCAAACTGGGGTTGTTGTAGTTTAGCTAATCAAGAGAAGGCATGACTCAGTAGAAAATACAGTAATGCTTGTAAGACAGAAGACAGTAAGAAAAGAGAACAACCACATTACAACCAGATAGACTCAATCAAGGAAGCCACATCTCTCAGGCTGCAATACGTGAACAGGGGTTGATGATAGTGACTTGGAGGACTCTCATAGAGTCACCATAAGTCCAAGATTACTTGACGGGAGTAAACAACAAACAGGCCCGTAGCCAGGATTTCATTTCGGGGGGGGGGGCTGAATTTTTTTTCAGGGGGGGTTTCGGGGGGGCTGATGTTTCGGGGGGGCTGAGTCTGAGTGAAAGAGGGTCTAGCCTAGCAAACCTTTTGTATCATTACCCCAATACCCCCATGCATATGGGATATATTGAGTATGGTGATCAGATCATGATATGAATAAACATAACAGTTTAAATAATGCACCAATAAGGCCTTTTCGCGAACCACCATGAAAATTTCGGGGGGGGGCTGAAGCCCCCCCCCCCCCCCCCCCCCCCGCTACATGCCTGACAACAAACTATTGGGGAGGGGTAAAAAAGAAGAAAATATCCCTTTACATAGTCCTCCATTTTTTCAATCCCCTGTTGACTGCTATTGTAATAATCTTCAACCATTCTACATAAAAAAAGTGCAAACCTCTTAAATAGGGGGTGTTGTACCTCAAACCAGCCATCAGAGGGTGTAGTAGCATGCTATCCTTCAACTCTCCTAATTTTTGCACATCGCTCAATTTTCCAAATTGAGAAATTGATATTGAAAAAACTGTAGACTTGTTTGTGGGGCCCCTTACTACATGCCTCTTTGGTCCAATCCTTTTGTATAAATGTTTCCCACTTACATAAAAATATTGTTCTTAAAGGAAAACTAATTTTGTATTGTATCCTATCATGTGTTTCATGTACTCAGGTAATGTAAGAAAATACATTGAATTTATTCCCCTATCCCCAAAAAGAAGTTGAAAATAAAATCTTGGTTTTGTCATTTTACACAAGGGGCACAACTTTATATATATAATAACACATTGCATATAATTGAAATCTGGTATCTATGAAGCATCCTGGAACCAAACCCCAACAAAGATCAAGGGCCCACTGTATACTCTAAATATGAAAAAATTGCTCCTTTAAAAATATTTTTCTTGGTTTCAGAAATTACGTTGACCAAATTGAGATACCAAACAAACAAATAAATATCACTATTATATTATGTCCAAATTTTTCCATTGCTCCAAAATTTTATATTATTTCAAAAATAGAAACACACAATGTAATTTTAATATTTCAAGTCTCTTCACAAGAATAATCATATTTGAAAGATATGACTGTTCATAACCATTATTGCATGACTTCTCCATTTCTAAAAAGCTACAAAACATGCAGTCTTTACACATCTCAGAAGTAAGCCCTATTGAATTCATGAACACCCCATAAGGTGTATAGCATTGCACTTTTGATTATTTTAGTGGGTGTGCATACCAGACGCAAGCAGTTGTAAACTCTGCACCATGTCCAGTTTTACCCTCTTTAGACCATAGCATAGCATGAGTGAGATCACAGTATGACACATAAGGTCATTTTTGCTGCACTGCAGCAGACTTTTTTTAAAGATAAGCTTTCTAGAGCTGTTCATTTCCCTGCACTACATAGTTCAGATCAGCAGAGGGCAGAATCACTCTGCAGCAGAGGACAAACAAATCTTTGCATGCAGTGCTATCCATCAAACCTAAAGTGATAGATGGGAAATAATGACTACGCTGAATTGAAAGATGTCAGCATGAAAGCACATTTCCATGGGCAGTTAGTAATAGGTGAAAGTATCCTTTTGGAATGTACCCTTAAGGGAAAGGGGCATGTCTTTTGCACTCTTTTAAATTTTAAATAAATGATCACAATTTTTGAGTCTTCGGGTATGCACAAAGACATTAAAAGGATTGCAGTTCCAAACATTCAGAAAGGAAGATAAAATTGTATTTTTCAGTCCACATGTTTAGGATTAGAAGGGAATTCTGAAAACAGATTAAGAGGCTGAACAAAAACTGAGCTCACAAATCCCAAGACAATGAATACACACAAGGAAATATATAAAAACCCAGAAGCACGTACAAATCTGGATGTATTGAATTCAAATGCAAGACATATGTATTTACTTGAAAAAAAAATAATTGGAATTCTCAGTTTCTTGTTGATCTTATGAAAAAAGGAACTTTCCCTACCTATTTCTAAAAATTCCCAAATATTAATATCATCTACTTCAACTATTTTGTCTTTTGCTTTTGCCCATTTTTTAAGCTTGTGACACTTCTTTTTCTAAGGAACAGCCTGATGTGCTGGTTGAAAATTCAGCTTTACAACATAAATATATTATCAGTGCTTAGCTCTTAAGAACAGATAATGAATATGCATAATCGAATTGAAGGAGTTTGGAACAGCCATGCTTTGGCCAATTCTATGCTGTTTCCTAGCACTGAAAAAAAAACATCAATAGCTTTTGCACGGGAAGTGTAAAACTGCATAGGGCACTGAAAAACAAATATTCCACTTTTTTCTGCTAATGTTAACATATGAAGTCAGTGCATTGAGATTTAAAACATGATCATGGAGATATGAACAGCAAATAGTTAAAAACTTCACAGTCTAACCTGGTATCATTCTCTACAGAAAGGCCATTGTCAGCAGTTTTCCCCTGGTGACAGCATCTTGTACTATAGCATACGTGACATAGCTGAAGGTACTAGGAAGCT